TTGGTCAGGACAACATCCTGAAGTATCACGCATTTTCAAAATTGTTTTACATAATCTCTTATCCCTTTCGTCTTGATTATTTTCCAGTGAGCATCCCAGAAAAGCCTAGCCTTTCTGGAGACAGTTGCATTTAACAATGAAACTGCACTTAAGTTTGTGTACCAAAAGAAAGATGAGAGAAGTACAGTCAGGGTATCAGTCCACTGCTGCAAACTGTAAGTAATTCAGGAAGTCAAGCACAAGTCCACAGTAGTGAAATATTTCTGAGAAGGGGTCAAGAGTCTGATTTGTCAGAGGGGAGGAGGGGTCACACTCCTTGTGATGTGCCCTCCCCCAACCTGCAGCTTTTGGCAGGAATCACAAGTTAGTAATGCAATCAGTGTCTGCATACAAAACACAGACATGATGAGCAGTTCAATTTCAGATGTTCCCATCAGAGAATAAGCACTTTCCCGTAGGTATCTGCAAGTGACCCAGATGAACCAGCCAGTATCCACGATGTTTTCACAGTTTATGGCCCACAAAGGGGTGTCCTAAATCTACAATGTTCCCTGAGTGGAGGAGCTATTTTTGAGCTTATGTCTGCTTTCAGTTGAGCACAGCTCCTGTTGAGGCTAAAAGAGCCCACAGCAGACAGTATCTGGTTTTAACACAGTCAGGTCCCAGCGATTAGGATCTGTGAATTCAGGATGACATAAAAGCCAGTACCTTTTCTTTAGCACCAGCAAAGTCAATATGCTTCAGGACCAGAAAACTGTGTTGCAAATCTAAGTGACAAGCAAGACTTTATTGGGCCCTTTTTGTCTTGTCTTGTAGTCCAAATTGACCCACTTAAAAATATGCACATCAGGCTAGAAAATCATCTGTCTCTTAAGAGTCATATCTAATTTCATAAGAGCTCATTACCAAATTAAAAACTGCTTTTGAAAACTCCAATTCAGTATCACTATTTGGAGATTGCCTGTCTTTTCATGTCTCCCTTTTTCCTGAAGCTCCAATAAATAAAAACCATAGTAAAAACCAACAGTTATAGAGATGGAGTATTGTTCTGTTTCCAATTCTCAGTGAGCTTAAATTCTAATGTGCCTCCAAAAGCATGGAAATTCTATTTCACTAACACATTTTCTTTGCAGCTTTTCCTCTAGCATTTATGAAATAACAAGCATATCACATTTTATGTCAATTTTTATACATCCAGATGCAATAGCCACAAAATAAGAAGCCATATTGTTTATACCCTATTTTTCCCTTCATTGTGAAACTCTAGTAGTAAATTCAGCACTTACAGGGTTAACATTAGAGCTGCCAGGGAAGATCCTGGCTGGAACACACGGAGTGGGGTTGGAGGGTCTGCTGCAGCAATGGCACATCTAAGTTAAAGAAGGAGTTGGAGGGCCGGCCCGGTGGCGCACTTGGTAGAGTGCGGCGCTTGGGAGCGCGGCGGCACTCCTGCCAAGGGTTCGGATCCCATATAGAGACCGGTCGGCTCACTGGTTGATCGCGGTGCGGGCACAACACCGAGGGTTGCGATCCCGTTGCCGGTCACGAAAAAAGACAAAAAGGAAAAAAAAAAAAAAAAAAAAAAAAAAAAGGGGG